AAGTGACTTGTCTGTATGTCCTGGGTTGAGTGAGTGGTGGAGTTTGTTGGTGGCAGGGGAGGGGGATATCGGGGCGGCCCTCTGTGAGAAGCTTCTCGAAGCTCCCCCAGCTCCACGTCAGCTCCACTTCTGTTTGGGAAATTGAGCCAATTGGCTGCGCCTCTGCGATAACGTATTTAAGAAGGGACGTGGTGACGGGCAGTGGGACTTGTGAGGAGGAGTTGCTGCAGCTGCATGAACACCAAGGTCAGTGGAGGAACGGAGGAAGAAAGGAGGGGGGAGGTGTGCCAGAGCAGAGACCCCCTGTATCCTGTGGTGAGACGGCAGGGCGCCCCCCCCGCCACCCATGAAGATCTACCGTGGAGCAGACATTGATTTATGGCCTGTGTTTCATTTTGCTTGGATGATCAAGGTGCTGTGCCCGAAGAAGGCCGGGGTCTCATGGGAAAAGGTAGCCCCGCTGCTGTAATTCAGTGCTGGGAGGATTGCAGCATGCGGGGGAGTCCCACGCCGGAGCAGCTCGGGAAGGGCTGCAGCCGTGGGAGGGAATCCAGTCGGAGAAAGTTGGTGACCCACGACGGAGCAGTGTGGGGAATGCTGCGGCCCGTGGGAGGGACTCATGTTCGAGAAAGTTTGTGGAGGACTGTCTCCTGTGAGGGGGACCACGATGGAGCAGGGGGAAAAAGTTCCAGAAACTCCCCCCACCGAAGATGGAAGAAGCAACAGCACTGACTGCGCCCCCCCCATTCCCTGCACTGCTAGGGGAGGAGGTAGAGATATCAGGAGCAGAGCTGAGCCTGGGAAGAAGGGAGGGGTGGGGGGAAGGTGTTCTCAAGATGTGGCAATGCTTCTCACTGTCCTACTGTTACGTGGTGTTAGTGTCTGTAATAAATGTATGTTCTTTTTTTCTTCCCCTAACGAGTCTGCCTTTTGCTCGTGCCCATAAAGGGTGATTTTTTTTTCCCCATCCCAGTCCTATCTCAAACCCCAAACCAGGCTCTTTCTCCCTTCTTATTGCCGGAAGAGAAGGGGGAGAGGGTGGCTGCGTGGTGGTTGGCTGCCGACCTGGCTCAAACCACGACACTGTACTGGGGTGACGTGGAGACCTTTGATCACTGTCATTCTGGGGGTGCAGCAGAACTAAGCGGTGTGACAGTGACTGCACTGGAGGAAGGAGCTGTTTATCTGCCTGACTGCAGTGCAAATGAGAAGATTGATTATAAATAAACTGGGAAAACAGAATCCTTGCTTCATTTAGACATCTGTTTCAAAAGTGGTTAGCAAGGACCTGTCTTGTAGCAGATGTCCTAGCACTGATTTTTGTAAGCTTTGACTTTTTTCCTGTCTTGTAACACTCCTCCTTTACACTTACTCCATGTGCTCTTCTTCATTCGAGTCTTGGCCCTTGCAGCCTGAGGCTCCTTTTGGGCAAGAGAATCAAGATGAAGTGTTGAGAAGTCAGAGGAGTTGTCCAGAACTGCTCAGAAGAGCCAAGCACTGAGCTCCGACTGGTTTCTGCTACCATATGGAAAGTAATGCTGACTTGCACCTACAGGGGAGCTACTTGTCTTCTGCAAGAAAAGACTGAGGCTGTGGGAGTCCTCTTCTGTAGACACCTACAAGTCCCTTGGGTATTTCCACCAGCCGTGACCCAGAGAGGCTCAGAGGACATCAGTGCTTGGAGTAGGCTGTGGGGCATCCTTGCATTCACTGTGACCTTCCTCTTCTCACCTGGGATTGAAGGAGTTGCTTCCCTTGCTTAGTCTTTTAGTTTTAATGTCAGCGTACACTTGACACAACAGTGCATTTTTAAGAGCACATCTATCACAGATGCCCACTACAGACCTGTGGGCTTCCTTCCACTGTCCCAGCAGAGCTTATGCAGCACATTGGAGCATCTGGGCTGAGAGCCTATAGGGTTGTTGCTATTTTCCCATTCATTTTATGAACAGAAAACGTCTAAAACTAGAGGAGCTTAGCGCAGAGGGATACAGCTGCTGCTGAACAACCTGACATAGCAATCAAAGGAGAGGCAGTGACCTTGGAATTCATTTAAATTACTTTTTCATTGGCCTTGAGAATTTAATGGCAATCCTCACAGGATTATTGAAAGATAGGATAAATAATCATGGGAGAGATGAATTGATTTGCAGTGCCTAGGTCTGACTTCTAATTTCTATCTCCCCTTTTCTGCAATGGTAGGTGAAAGCAGGCTGTAGCACGCAATAGCAAAACTCTCATAAAGATGGCCAGAGAAGCATCGTTTATCGTGGGAGAAGCTCCTGAGATTTGTTGTCCCTCTTTCGGATTCAGTTTAGTGTAGTGGCTTTTTTTTCCAGGCTGGCATATCATGCTGTCCTCTGTCAGGAGTAGAGCAAGCATTGCATGATAAAGATTTGAGGACTTCAGTTTGCATTTAAGTGCCTTTAAAGACCTGAACGCGCTTCCCCTTTATTTTAAGCATGAGTGAGTTAGCTTTGTGGCAGTCATTAGCACTGTGTCTGTGTGATGTTTGTGAAAGAATCCGGAACAGTGACATTTTATAGTCTGGATAGCTTTCTCTAAAATATTACATGAATTTCAGATGCTTTGGAATATTTTTTATTTCCTGGACAAAGTATGCCTAGCTTGTTTGGTTTGTTATTTTTTTCCTCTGCATAGGTTTGTGAAAACTCAGGTTGTTTAATACTTTTGGTTGATCAGATCTAGTATTAATGATTGTGGAATATAGTGTAGATTGTGTGGATAGCGTATCTGGAGCACAGTATGAATCTTGCTCTGGATGGAGAACATAGTGTGTAAAGCCCACCAAGGTGAAGTTACCCTTGAAAAAAAGTATTTTTTAGTATGTATTTGAGCTAGCTAATTCAGAGAGGTTCCCAGGTATCTGAGCTGAGACTCGAGATGCCCTTTGTTTAGAAGTGAGGAAGAGCACAAAGTGAATAAAATTCCCTGCTCCTAAAAGAAGAAATAAATCAACTTGGTAGGGTGTCAAAGGGAACTGTCAGCCCCTTCCACAAAGCCATATGCCGGCAAGTTTTCTGTGGGTGGCAAATAAATCATTTTGCCAGCCTCTTTCATGCTCTTAACCAAGACAAGCAGTGCTGAGACAGTAACTCTTCCTCAGCCTTTTCCAGCTTCTTCCTGAATTCAAAGCTGTCGCATCAGGCTCCCAGCTTGGTCACACGTGCTCCCACCACTGTGTAAAACCAAAGCAAAGCTTCCTCCTCCTGCTGAGACTCCCTTGTTCTGCTGCTCCTATCACATTAAAACATTGGTTTTGCTCAAAAGGACATGGGATTTCTTAATGCTGTGATTGCTATGCAGATGACTAAGCAGCATGGACCTTTGCAGAGTGTCTGAATTGGAGTTTGGTCTGGGATCAATCATTTGAGTATTTACCATAATTCTCAGGTGAAACTTGCAGTCTTTATTCAAGTGTATCTACCTGGTGCTGTAAACATGCCCTGAAAGCATTTCATGGTGTGCTGCAGTGGTTGGAGCTCTGCTGAAGTCCCTGTTTGCTGTGGTGAAGTTACACCTGGATGTCCTGTCGCTTCTGGGCTGCGAACACTTTTTGACTTGTGCTATATGAAACATGGTTGTCTGATTGAGTTCAGGCTCAGGTTTGTCTGCAGGCTTCAGCAGTCATTGCATTAGTGGGAATCAAAATAGCACTGAGATTCAGATTGGGTAATTGGGATTGGTTAATTTTCTTTCAGACAGTGGTGTAAAAATAGCCCCAATCCTGTTGCCTATACACCTCAGAAACGGCTTTTGCTGAAGCTGCATTGAAACAGATTTCTGGCAGTTTTTTCTGATAGGACTTTCAAAAGCTCAGCAAAGTCTGGTCTTTCAAGTGCCCATTCCAACAATAACAGCTGAAGAAATAAAAGCTGGCTGCTGCTGCAAACAAGAGGAGAAAGTGTGGTGAGGGATTGCGTTGAGATTACACTGCGTGGCAGCAGGCAAGGGTCGTGCCACGTGCCTTATTACAGCTCTCTGCACCCCCGGCCTGCGCGCAGGAGCCGGCCCTCACCCTGCCTGGGTGTTGGTCTCTGCCTCTCTGTCCCTTTGCACTCACCCTGCGGGGTCTGTGGCTGTTCTGGTCCCTTGGGGGCAATAGCAGGGGCTGCGTGGGGGCGAGGAAGGGGCTGTCCCAGAGGCCCAGCATCGCGCTGCAGGCGCTGAAGTGTAACTCGACGGCATGGCAGGAACCTCACCTGGACCTGAAAGTTCAGTTTTCCTGGAAGCAATTGCACCAGCTGAAAGAAGTTTAATTTACACCCAAATAATTTACTTTAAATCTGCTTTTCTTGCTCATGCATTCATTTTACTTTATTGTAATGTCAGCACTTAGCAGTGAAGTAATGGCAGATCTCTGGAGAACTTTGCACAAGTGAAAAAGCACCATTATCTCGGTTTTACAGGCCCTGCTTATGTTGAGAACATATGTGGTGGTGTAATTACACTGATGTGATTAAATCAGTGCAAATCCTTGCTAGAGGGACATGCTGCACCACTGTAAAGCAGGGCTTATTATCAGTTGAATTCAAATTACATTACTCAATTAAGCTGTGCTAGTATAAGCCTCAGCTTAAAGTCAGGAAGTCACGTGAGGGCCTGTGTTGTTTCTTTTTAAAGCAGATAAAGATTTGGAAAATGAAATGGGTGAGGTTGTGCCTCACCCAAGAGCATGCTAGAAGCAATGGGCTTGACAAATACTGTGTTTATAGTACTTTCTGGGAGGACAGAGGTGTGGATGCAAATTCAGGGATTTTATTATTATTTTTTAATAGATTAAATTCTTTGGTTAAGCCATAGTGACCACTTTGGAAGAGATCCTAACTCATACTAAGGCTTTACAAATAAATTAATTAAAATGCATACTAAATTCTAGTAAATCTCTACCACATGGTTTTGGATTTTGATAATGGCTAGATGGGTCAGTGAATAACCATGGCGTGTATAACTTAATTGAATTTTTTTTTTTTTGGCAGGGTGTGGACACTGTAAGAAAATGAAGCCAGAATATGAGAAGGCTGCAGAGTTTCTCCATGTAGCCAGTGATGTAAGCTAATTTCCTTTATTATATCCTTCAAATAATCAGTAATAAATAACTAGAGTAATAAAAGTGACTTTTCTCCCTACAACAAACTCAGCTGTTCTCATCCTCCCACAGGACCCTTCAAAATGTGCTTCCAAAGTACAGTCTCATCGCTAATGCATGAGCCCTGCCAAAGTCTTAGAACATTCTGTCTTGAACGAAAACAAAATCGAAATATGTTTATGTATTCTGCTGTAGGCCTTATACATAATATGATCAAATCCAAAATGGATTTTTTTCCCCTTACTTAAAGGCATCGAATGTGAAGAAACATAGGCTTTTATTTATGAATTAGATTTGGAAAAAAACAAAGGGGGTTGATCCCTCTTTCAAATACCCTGGTTTTAGAGTTGCATCACTCCATTAGCTTCATCTTAAGTGCTTCATCAGCATGGCTAGAGAAGAGAGATCCAATAATATTAGTGTTATTGATTCAGTCTCATGCTGTGTACTCCATGCAAGAAGAGAAGTAGAATTAATCTCCCTCATACTTTAAGCATCTAGTGGAGACATCCAGAGTCCCTTTGCAGTTGTTGGAGAAAGAGAAGATGAGAAAAACAAAGATCGGATGAATCACACTCTACAAGTGTCTGTTCTCCTGTAACTCTAAAGGTGGTCGACGTCAAGATGCCCACAGGTTAGGGAAAGATGAATTTACCTTGAAGTAAACTTGTCTTTAACAATGCCTACCTTTTCTGTGAGAAATTGGGATTTGTGGGAGGAAATGCTGTTACTGGGAACTGCTCCTAGGCATTATAAAGTGAATTATATACAGGGCATCCTGTCAGAAATGGAGGAGAACAGGTAACACTGGCTGCATTCAGTCCATAAGATGTCCCTTCCTGGTTTTGTATCAGTCCTCTGTGTTTTTCTGTGTGTCTCTACTGAGTACCTGAGAAAGTGAAGGCACCTAGACCATGAGTGATTGCCCCTAAGCCCACTATTTCCTGCCAAAGTGGTGTGTGTATGTTGCTGGGATTTACAGTTAGTGGTCTCTGTTTTAGAGTCCAGGTGTCCTTGCAGCAGTCGATGCTACCGTCAACAAGGCACTGGCAGAAAGATACCACATCTCAGGGTTTCCCACTTTGAAGTATTTTAAGGATGGAGAGGAAAAGTACACTCTGCCACACCTCAGAACAAAGAAGAAGATCATCGACTGGCTGCTTAAGTAAGTTTTGATGGTCTGAGATAGTATTTGGGTTCCTGATTGCTGGCTCCTTAAGACTGCTTTGGTGAGGAAGCAAATCTTAAACTTAGCTTCATTGACTGCCTAAATCCCTTGCTAACAAAACCAAACTGAATTCCAGTGTTCAAAGCCATATAAACATGTATGTTAATTATGGTCTCTAATTCACCAAATCCTTTATTTGCTGTGGGGATTTTCATAGTTGTCCTGGTATTTCTTTCCCAAAATAAATATTTTTCAAATATACCCTAAGCCTGTGACTGGAGAAGGAATAGCAATGGCTCTGAAAAATAAACAGAACATTTGTTCCCTCTTTATACTAAGCAGCAGATTTCACTGTTAGTAACTGAATTTCTGCAGTTGTACTTTTCTCTTTCCAACATTTCAGAGCCAAGGCCTAGAATACCAGCTATGTGGGGCTGAAGGAAAGCCAGCGAGACCAGCAAAACCAGCACCTTTGTGTGCACCAACCAACTTTTCTTGGGTGGTGTGCTAAAATATGCAGAATTAAGTTTGATGTATGATGAAAATAATTTCATTCAAAGTAGTAAATTGCTGGTACAATTCTCTCTAAGTATTCTGGAATAAAATATGCATTTCCTTTAGGTACTGCAAGCCTAATGTATTTTCTGCATTATTCAATGGAAAAAAAAGTTAAAGTGTTTTGTGAAGTTTTAAAATCATTTAACCGTTAAGTGCAGTTGGCGTGAGGAATGTAATCTCAAATTTTCCCCTCTTATTTGGTGGAGGGAAAGGGGTTGTGTGTGTGTTTTTTTTTTTTTTTTTCTTGTTGCTGTTGTTTTTTGTTTTTGTTTTTGTTTTTTTCTTGTTGCTGTTGTTTTTTGTTTTTTTTTTTTTTCCTCTTCTTTTTAAATTACATCTCTGAGTGCTTCAAATCAGGTAATAGATACAGTCTGGCAGCATCTTTGAAGTATGTTGGGAAGTTTCTTCTATATTTTACATTTAGACACAGTAGTCCCTTAGCCTCCCTGCATACTCGGGCTCCAGGCTGCTGTGTCAATACTGGATGTTAAGTCACTGTCCTATTTTCACTAGTATGCTAGAGTATTTTGAGTGCTATGTAGTTTATATTGAGTTAAACAGTCAGGTTGACACTCGTTGTACATACTGGCAGGTCAATAAGCAATGAGGAAGAGGGAAGGGTTGTTAATACCTTCTGGATCCTGCTGTGCCTCGGGAAGACTTTTGTCTGCAGCCTCAGGTAGTCAGCAACACAGGGGAAACCCAGACAGTGTGTCTCCTGCTCTTGACTGCTGGATGTTTTCCCAGCTAGAGACACTATAGAGTAAGATCCTTGTTTGCTGGCCAGGGATAAAATTGTCACAGCTGCACTGAAGTTGGTGGAAATAAGGATGCATCTGGGGTGCAGGCTGGAGATAAAAGTACAGCTTATGTATACCTATCCGAATGAGTGGTCTAGTCGCAGCCATGCGGGTTTCGACTTCGGTCCCTCTGTGGTGTCTGTAGCCTGTGCTGCCACACTAGGTTGTTAGCAGTATCTCGGTGGCTTATTTGAGGTCAGCATGGGAAGGTCTGTGTGAGATGAAGTCACACCTCTGACTGTAACTGTAATCGATGATAGCTCACACTGACTGTGTTCATGTGAAAATTCAGACCAGCTGCCCTAATTCTTTTGCTAACAACTGTCAAATCGGTATTGATGGAAATACAGTGGATGTCCACCAAGTGACCTTGAGAAGGACTTTAAAAATTGAGTTTTTCTCTACTTGGTTTTTATGTACCTGATACAACTTAAAATGGTGTCATTCAAAGTGACAGGAAAGTCTGAGAAGCTAATTTATTACCAAGGCGACATATGAAGATCTTTATACCATGGCACCATTTTGATGATTTTATATAAGTAATCACTATTTAAGATACAGCAGGAATGAATTTAATGAGTCTGAGAGAAGTCTGTGAGCTGGTGAATAGCAGAAGTTTTGTTAGAGGCACTCTGGATGTGCGGGATTGCTCTGATCTAGTCAGTATGTTCAGTCATAATTGAAACCTGACATTCTCTTTATCAAGGTAAAATATTCCGGTTCAGTCACCCCCAGTCTTCCAAGTGGAACGATGCTGATTATTGCATCCTGGCTTTAATACCTGAATTCAAGAGAAGGTCATGAAATTCTTTGTAGAAGTTTGCATGATAGCGATAAAGAGTATAAAAAGATGTTTGAATGGAAGATGCTGTTCTATATTGGCTGCCTTTTGATTCCACCTGCTTGCTGTTCTTCTCAATTCATGCCTATGGATGACATGGTGATACAGGAGCGATGTTGTTTCCACCCAGATGTTGGATACAATGTAGGAAATCTTTATTTTTCATTCCTACTTATGTGCCTGAGTATGATCGCTTAAATTATATTTTTTACTGAGTTACAGAAGTTAACTTGCATCTTTTTTGTTGTTATCTGGTGTTGGAAATACCGAGCATGGTTTTCTACTGCCCAGGCACCCTGAAGGATTGTTCAACCTCAGTTTCCTCATGGTAGTTATGACTAGCACATGATACCCCTTTGCCTATTTCCAGATTCATTTTCAAAACAATCTCATTTCTTTTCTTTTCTTTTCTAGTCCTGAAGCACCACCTCCACCTGAGCCTGCATGGGAAGAAAAACAAACTAGTGTTATCCACCTTGCTGGAGAAGACTTCAGGGAGTCCTTGAAGAAGAAGAAGCACACCCTTGTCATGTTCTATGCACCATGTGAGTAAATATCTCTCTACGTGTATAGATTTTATAAACCCTACAGTTTACGAAATCCTGAATTTATTAATTCTGAATATGAATTCCCTCGCTGTCCCCAGACTTTAAAGGGTAAAGAGCTGATTCTGAATATAACTGCATGGGACCAACATTGGCACCATCGTTTATATCTTTATAAATGGAAGCAAAACAGTATAGAGTTTATTTAAAGAGTTATTGTCTTAATGCAGACACCAAAGCAGGCAGGGGTACAAATCCAAAACAGATTTATTTTCCTCTGCTGCATTTCATGGTCCATATAACAAAATGTGATCCTTTGTAGTAGCACAATGGACATGGAGAGCCTGACTCATTTGTGCAGCACTTCAGTAGTGAAATTGATATAGTGGTGTAGGAGGAATCAGTCCCCAGAGGCTGAGAACAAATTTTGATGGAATAAATTTTGTCTGTAATAAATCTACATTTACATCTCCATGGGGAATATGGGCATAGATTCCTCCTCTCAGGTTGTTTTGTGTGCATTATATGCACACTTTTTTGAAACTCCTGAGAGAATTTTTGAATCGGGTCCTTTATAAATTAAGTGAATGAGAGGGACCTCTTCTGTTTTCCTGTGTTGTCCCAGAGACAGGCAGACTTGGTACAGGCTCTTAACTTTTGAGGGGTCTGTCAAAGGGAGAAGCTAACACTGGCATTTAGATAGTAATAAGTTGCTTTTATAGCACCGTGACTCAGCCCCCATAGATAGAAGAAAAATTCTTCCCTATCACACGGCCAACCCTGCAATTCAAGGATAACCTTCAGACAAACAGTTGCTAACTTGTTCCCATTAAACTGAAAGTATTTTCCAGAAAGGGAGAAAAAATTCAGGTCCTTAATGTTTAATCAGGCAGCCCCTTATTTTGCTTTTCGGTTGAGAGAATTAAACATGAATGCTTTCGGGCTCCCATGAAGCCCTGCTGGTTGTAGGATTTGGGAAAAGGGAGGGGTTCAATTCAGAAGGGAGATTTCTGGAAGGTTGTAAAAGAAAAGGGAAGGGGACTTAATCCCTTCTCAACTACAGTTCCCACCGCCTATTGACTAAAAATTGCCCGTGTGCCAGGAATTTCTGATTCATGGACCTCAACTGGTTAAGAGCAAGACATAACTTTAAAATCAAATGATTGCACTTGAAATGGTAAATTTAGGAGTTTGCTGTCTCTTGAGTTCTCTTTACTTGATGAGTGACTTCCTGTGGAAGAGAGAGATTTATTTCCATTTTGGTCTTTAACTGCATCTTTTTAACACACTTAAATTCTTGGTCTTTTTTAAGGCCATGTTTAAAGCAAAGACACTACGTGCAATGAGTATGTAGCTCTTGGGGTTGAAAGCATGAGGCAACTTGCCTGATGGGCTAACTATGATACCATTGTTTGTGGGTTGACTTCTACCCTTACTCCAGGAGGGGTGAATAAAGATCAGTCAGGCCCAGTCTGTGCGAATGGGCTGTAAAAGTAAAACTTGCATGATGCAAGACTGTTGGGTCCTTTGAGACCTCCCTTTGGACGTGTTCTTCCGGCACTGTTTTGGATACAGTGCTGCATGGGACCACCTATGTACAGGACAGAGAGGTGTTAACTGGAACCACTTCTGGCCTTCCTGTGACTCCTAAGACAGTCAGTGTTGCTGTTGTGCTGTCAGTATGTGGGTCATGCACAGTTTCTGCTTTGTCAGGTTTGTTCTCTCTAAATGTGTAAGTATCTGTGTGCAAAGCAGAGAGCAGGCACACAAAGGGAGTGCAAGGAACCTGCCCTTTGTTGGGTGCAGGGGAAAGTAGCAGGTGAGTGTTTTAAATCTCTGGATTCTATGAAATAATCATTAATGCAACAGAATGGTAGAAATCATTCTATTTTTCAGCTTTTCTGCAGTAATAATGTGCTTCCTTCTAAATTTGATAGATTAGCTTTTGTTTACCATTTTCTCAATCTTGAGACCTCTTAGAGCTTACATTGCCAATTAGTCTTAACTTGCTTATTTTAGTGCAGAAGGAACACTGCTAAAATTGCCAGGCCCCATTCTCTCAAATAATTTTCTTTTTCTATTCAGATCCACATCTTAGGTCAGTGCAGACTCACAGTACATTACTCCATTCACTTGTGACTCTATGACAGTATTTGTTACGCTCACACATATGCTGAGATATTTTAAGATTGGGGGTGTGTGTATACATGCGTATATAAAGTATGTTTATATATAAATATTTATGCTAAGAAACGTATCTCTCATCTGTCATTACAATCTAAAGCAGAAAGTTGAATATTCTGACCTTTGTAAAGCTTTCATCTAGAGTGATGAACCTTTAGGCAAAGGCCACAGATACATATCTTACATGCAAATTAAAATGAGATCTGGCTTTTCTGTGGCAGCTTCCAGTCCGAATTACTTAATATGTATAGGACAACCATCAATCTGCTGCTGCACTGATAACTCTGGACTGAGCTGGGTGGTGCTTTAATGGTACTGAACAGTGCTTCACAGTGATTTAGCTCCAGAAGAGAAGACTGCTACATCTACATGGAAAAGATGGGGAACTCATTACACTATCACCCTGAATGTGGGTGAAGCGTGAAGGTTTTTCCTGGTGTCTGTGGAATATTTTAAGGGCTGAGAATCAGAATCAAAAAAGTTACTGGAAAGAAAATCCACTCCTCTGGACTTGACACCTATGGAGAGTGATGTTCTTGATTTCACATTCCCATTCCTCCCTGGTGGTATCTCTGTGCATTGTAATGACTGATTTGGGACAGGAGACAGCAGCAGGGGCAGGTCCCCAGTACTGACTTGGGGCAAAAATGCCAGCTGCAGAAAAGCTAATGCTACCTGTGCCAATAAGTGCTTGGACCTGATCTCATCTGGGTGTCCACTGGATAGGTCTGTACCCTCTGTGGCCACCGTACCGTGCAGGCTCATGATTCAGGCTGACACTTGTCGGTGCTTCTCAGGACTAGCACTTGGAGCTGGCTGCTGGCGTCTGTGCTGCACAGCACCTGATCCAGCTCTTCTCTGGACCCTTGTGGGGCTCTTGTAGTCTCCAGATGTCATTGTCATCCCACTCCCTTATCTCTGGAGTTCAAAATGCCTAAAATAAGGGAAGGACAACGATGGTCTACTGAAGTGAAGCATGCTGCCACATGTACGCGTTGTGTCCTGGTGGGGGGACTGCCATGAGGGGTTCAAGGAGCATTTGAAAGCAGAAGGCTTACTGCACCAGCATTTGAGAGGCATTTTGGGAGAGTTTATGGGATCTGTATTATCTCCATAGACCAGTCCTTGGAGTACTGGATACCATCAGCTACTCCAGGTTTCCTTTTGTAACTGCTTAGCTTCGTCCAGAAGTGGGGAGAGGAGACAACTAGTCCGAGTATGGTTTGGTGTACACATGTAGCCTGGTGTGTGGATGATCAGGATCTGGGAGGCTGTGGACCAAACTGGAAAGTGAACTAAATGGATAAGACTAGATCCAGCCTAGCCCAGTTAGACTGCAGTACTTAACCAGCTATAGCCAGAAGTACACTAGCTGCATGTCTGTGGTCTACGTCCAGAGCTTGTTTCAAGACTCACGGTATTAACCGCCTATCATCCTGGACTGACCAGATTTCATCAGTGCCTCTTCTGTGATCAGCACACACTGACTTTTCTGTCTTCTTTCTTATGTCCTCACTGTTTGTTCATATAGCTTATCTGAATGTGTTTTATCTGCATTTTTACTTTTATGCGCTCTCTCCACTCCATTATCCCACATAATTGAGATTTGACTTTGCCAATGCATTAAATTTTAACCTCCTCCTACTATAGCAGTGAAAACTGCAAAATAGAAGCAGTTGGTTGTGATTAGTTGTCAGAATCACAAAGGGCAACAAAGTTCCAGTAAATAACATGTCTTCTCAGTTGGAGATGTTTTTGTTGCATTACTCAAACTGAATTAAGGAAAAAAAAAGTAATTGAAGCTAGGTGGGCATTTTTCAATGAAATGGAGAGATGCAGGTTGTTCTTCAGGAGTGTACTGTGTTTTTAACCCAACATTTTGTCTGGAGAAGCCCTTAAAGGCCTGCATGGAATTTCTTGTAGAGTCAGTGCAAAGACACATACCAGATTAAGGACCGTCACATTCTCACATGGTTCCCTCTTCTGCCTTGTTCATCCCTGGGATTTAATATGCTTTTTTAATGCTGTAATTTGATGATGTGACCGTTAAGTTTTAGCTGTTCTTGGGTGATGCTCTGTCAAACTTATGCTAGGACTTTTCTGCTCTTATAGAAACAATTCAAAGCTGGGGACACAGACTCCATAGAAGAGCATCCCCGATTGCATTAGGAAGAGCATCACTGACAGGTCAAGGGAGCTGATATTTCCCCTCTTCTCAGCACTGGTGTGACACAGTTGGATTGCTGTGTCCAGTTCTGGGCTCTCCAGTACAGAAGGGACATTGACATACTGGAGTGGATCTCGTGAAGGGCCGTGATGGTGATTAAGGGAATGGAGAGGCTGAGAGAGCTGGGTCTGTTCAGCATGGAGAAGAGGCTGCTCAGGAGGATCATCTTATGCATAATGTGAAGACAACCAGATTCTTCTCTGCAGTGCCCAGGGACAGGAGAAGATGAAATGGGCACTAACTGAAACACAGGAAATTTTGCTTAAACATAAGAGAAGGGGTTTTTTTACTGTGGGAGTGGTTGAACACCAGAATAGGTTGTCCAGAGAGGGTGTGGAGCCTCCATCCGTAGAGGTATTCAAAACCTGTCTGGACACAGTGCTGGGCAACCTGCTCTAGTTGACCCAGTTTTGATCAGGGGAGTTGGACTAGATCTCCAGAAGTGCCTTCCAACCACAGCAATGCTGTATTTCTAGGAATAGTAGCACTGGAGTTTGAAATACACAGTGGGTTTTGGTGAGTTTTTTGGGTTTGGTTTTTTTTTGTTAGTTTTGGGGTTTTTTACCCTTCCCATTGAGTTCTGATTTTC